AAATTAAAATTGTACATTTAAGATCGGCTACGGGTAGATCCGACCATTGACAGATGTTCGGTAAATATGACCATCATACAATAGTATTTGAGTTTAGTTTTTTTTTTTTATAAATTTAAATCATTTTAAATTTAGGTTTATATTCATAAAAAAAGAAAGTATTTTTAAAAAATATTAAAAAATATTTTATATAAAATAAATTATCCAAAATATCTCCAAAAAATTTCAAAAAATATTTTGGTCATTTTATTTTTACCAATAATTTTTTTTATGTATTTTATTAAGTGCGTCTTAATAAGAAGAACACATACTTAAAATTTCAAGTGATTTTGATTTTTAAAAATAAAAAACTAAAATTCAAATACTATCAAACATTCGTGATCATTAAATCGATACATATTCAATCTGAACCATTGAACTCATATGTCCGAAACTCGAGGGCAAACCCCATCGTTTTTCTGTACAATAAACCTAAAAGGATATTGCATGTTTAGTATTTTCTTTCTCCGTACTCTATAGCGTGCACGTAAATATAGTACAATGAACCTTAATACAGGGGTATTTCGGTCATAGTTAGCAAATCGCCCTTTAATGCGATTTGGGCATTTTTATGGAAATTGTTTTAAGCGGTAATTTTTTAAAAAGGTCGGAAAAAGTCTGTACTTTTCTTAAAAACTTTTAAAATGCGTTTTTTTAATAATATGTTTTAAATCTGGTAAAAAAATCTTATCTTTTTTTACTTATAATTTTTTTTGAAAGATACTTTTTCTTCGTGTTTTGTGTATTGCAGTCATTGTTACTTTTATGCTTTTGAAAAAAAATATAATTTAAAAAATACTTAAAATAAAAATTTTTATCCTCATTATATTCTTGAAAGCCACAGTTACAGAATGAAGGTATGATTTCTTTTTTTTTAAAAAAAAAAAACTTAAACAAATAGATGCATATATCAGAGTCATTATGGAAAATTATTGTGTAAATGAAATACTGTTTATAGCAAATCATTTTGTAAAGTAAATCATTGTGTAAAAAAAAATCATATACATGCAAATTTATGTGATTATTTGTGATAATTGTTTTTATTGAAATACTGTTTATGACACAAATTAGAGCTCAAAACATAGTCTTTTATTAATGAATGAGAACCAAATAGTGTGACTACATGACAAAGTAATCAATATTTTGCTTTTGATTATGTGATAAAAGAGATAAACAATATGGTGTAAATTGCAGATTTATTTTAACAAGCAATTGTACATAAAGGATTAGTCCCCAAACCTAGTCCTTTAGCTCTACTTGTTGTTTCCTCAAGAAAATGAAAAACCGCCTTCTTTTTTTTTCTCTAGAAATCAGTTAAGGATTCTTCACAAATCAATATAATTAGAGCGATATCTCAAACAACATCTCAAATTAAAAAAAAAGCCATCTTCAAACTATCCCAAATCAACATCCCATCTATCTTTTCTCTTTCTAAAAATAAGTTAGAGCCTCTTCCATTAGGTTTTGTGAAGCCCGTAACCGCTTCCTTCTTCTTTGGTCTCTATAAACCCTGGCTATGAACCAGCCCATTTTGTCTCTTTCTTCTTCCTCCTTCCCTCTCTAGATCGTAACCTTATTCTCTCTCTCTTCCTTCTCCTCCTCTCTCTAAACGGTAAACAGAATTCATTAAACTTTAACAATAGTTATGGTGTGACCATACTATAGTTAAATGCTTGTAATGAGAAAACAAAAATCATATATTTTTTTTTACTTTCCAAGTTAAAGTATTTAATGAATAAATTTATATACTATATTTGTTTTTGTTATGTAATGGGTAGATTTATATGGTACATTTTTCTTGGTATATACTAGTTAATTATGTATTTAATATTGGGGGATTGCATCAAGGTTACGAGATATCTAAATTAATTGACTTAATTATATTAGTCTAGTAAAGTTTTTATGAATGAATTAGTTATCGATGGCTTTGACATAATTTTTATTTTGTAGAATTTTAAAATTTCTAATATTATAAATTTATCCGATTTTTTTACTCCGATTTTTTGAGCCTAATCCGATATATTAAAAATATCTTTATATGAAGTATTTTTGCCGATCCGTATTTTTTACTTGATTTTTTCATCCAACTTTTTAAAATAAAAACGATTTGTATCTGATTTTATGGTGAGCCGATTTTTTGATAGTCCCCGACTTGCTAACTATGATTTCGGTGCATGTTTAGTACTTTCTTACTCTGTACTCTATACCGTGCACGTACATATGAGTAAAATAATCGTTTTTTTAAAAAAAAAATATTGAGGGTGAAGCTAGCTAGGGGTGGTAATGGACCGGGATCCCAGCCAGCACCCGAGGGGTAAACACCGAGTTGAGCCACGGTATGGGTCAAAAAATTGGACCTCCAATCACTATTTGGTCTGGGTCTGGTCAGGTCCTGATATGGGTCCAGCCCAACCCAACCCATTGTCACTCTTAAAGCCAACCCTTTTTTTTTTTGAGGGTCCATCTTTTAGTTTTCATTTTTATTAGGTGCCTCTTTTTAAGGGAATATTTTTAAAAATTCTCAAATTGCCCTCATCTATTTAATGGAAAAAGTTTATATAAGGTGTCAACCTTATATCATGTGAGTAAGGTGTACGTAAAAATTCTACTAAAGAAGGTTGTTCTAATATTGGAAAACCCTCAAATCAAACATTTCGACCTTGAGATTCATAGATATGTATATATGAAAAAAGGAATTTTAGTCTTAAAAATAGTTCATCTTTTAACACATTATCTGGACCATCCAGTTTTAAGATTTTTAAGTACGCATAGATTTACTTGATCCTCACTATTTCTGAAATTTTAAATTTCATAATTAGAGGCAACAATAGATTTTCATATCATCGCGCAAGTCTTTGCAGCACCGAAACTAAATTTTTGGCATATTTTTGAGTTGCACCTTATATCAATACCTTATACAAACCTCACCCCTATTTAATTAGGTGCCTATTTTTGAGAGAATATCTTTAAAAATGCTCCTCTTTTTTAGAGAATATCTTTAAAAATGCTCAAATTACTCTTATCTAGGTGTCTCTCATTTGAGAGAATATCTTTATAAATGCTCAAATTACCCTTTTATCTAGGGTTCAAGTAAGGGTATTTTAGTAATTTCATCAACAACCCAGAACAAATGATTAGGCCATAGTTATCAAGACATGACTGCATGGACCAATTGGATTGTTGACCGGTGCTTTGATCAATCTGATCTAGAGCAAGGACCTAGTTTGGTCAATAACCTGTTGAAATCCGTCAAACAAATCAATTTCAGTAAAATCCGTCAAACAAAATTGGTTATTTTTTTGTAATATATTTTATATTATTATCTATATTTTTCTTTATTTTTTGAAAGAAAAAAAAAAAAGAGTAAAGCCTCATCGCAAAACTTATCAAAAATTACAGTTTTGATTTCAAAAAACCTTCAAATTAATCATCTCAACTTTGACCATAATGGTTGTGAAAAAAAATAAGAATTTCATATTCTAAAAATGGTGTACATTATAACATATCATCTAGACCGTCCATTTCAAGTATACACAAATCTGTAAGATCTATACCATTTTTTTAGCTATAATTTTTGTTATCGATGGTTGAAATAGTATTTAGGGCCATCATAGGGATTTCCCATAACGGTGGAATGGCAGAACAGGATTGTATAACAAGCCTAATCACTTGCGATGAGGAATGATGATAATAGGGATTTCCCATGCACAAAGTGTTTTCCAATAGAGGCTTCCAGGTGAAGCTTTATCTTTTTTCCGTAAGGGCTAGGGCTGGTAAAAACTACACCATATTTAAATTCTAGTTCATCCAGTTCGACCAACGATTGAATCGAGTTTATGTATACCATACCCCTAGCCAGTTTGGTGGTCACTTCATTTCTCATAATACTATACGAGGCTACCTTCGCTTGCTAAGTGGGTAAAATTACGTAAGTATTTATTTTGGCAATTTTGGAAACTTTAGTTTTTTTTTTTTTTCATCGAACTAGATTTCGAGAAGTCTCAAATTAAAAAAATGCAAACAAAAAAAAATCTCTAAAAGGAGTCTCAATTTGGGGATATAGAAATCCATCAAAGTCAAGTCTTTTGCTCGAAAGAAGTATGGAGTATGCTCCTGTGAGAGTATGTTATACGTTTATGTACCTAGGTATAACAGGCACCAAAGCCATTGAGCAAGAGAAAGCATGGAAAAATAGAGTATAAAGTAATAAACAAAGTTCACTTGTATTATTCATGGACCAAAAACAGAGAAAATGAGAGGAGAAAATACTACTTGCAGAATAGCGGCGACCATCGTTTCTCGACTTGAATAACTCGCCTCGGTCAAAGTCCGAGTACCTTGGCCGAGTCGATTATCTGAAGACTGGTGGGGACATAGCCATGGCATAACACTTAAGACAACCATAAATCATATGCTATGATAAAGATGTCAAAAGGTTTGAATTTACAAGATTAGAATACAAAACATATAGTCTTCAAGGGAGAGAGATCTGAATACAAAACAGTCTTGTAGAGAGAGAGAGAGAGATTAGGAGGATGAGAAGGTGTCAAAGATGGTGGTGTGGAGAGGGTCACTCAAATGAGTGGCCCAATTATTGAGAGGACCTTTACCAGTTGCAGCAGCTTGAACTGCAAAGCCCAAGAAGCCAACCATGGCTAACCTTGCATGCTTTATCTCTGCCAATTGGAGAGTGGCCTTCTTCTCAGGATCAGAGGCCAAGCCTAGGGGGTCAAAGAACTGACCACCAGGGTACAGTCTTTTCTCAGGGTCAAGCTCTGCATTTCTTTGGAATTCAATGTACCCAATGACCAAAACCTCAATCCAGATCAGTGTGGTCATGGTGAATGGGAGTGGAAGGCCCAAGTAAGACGACCCTTCAATTAGCTCCACCTGAAAGAGAGAGAGAGAAAGAGAGAGAGGCATTAAGTGAATAGTTTTGGGTTCCAAATTCAGAATGAATTTTTTTAGTGAAAAAACATGTTTTGAACAAACACAAGTATTTAAGCCATTTAACTTAGGGAAAAGTTTTAATAAGGTTGCAACCTTAAAATAAAGAATCACCGATGCACCTCAAAAATCTATTGGAAATGTTGTTTTAATGTTGAAAAAACCCTCTAATCGATCATCTTGACATCAAGAAGTATAAATGTAAAAAATAAAAAATAAAAAATTTTTGAGTCCCGAAAATAGTGCATCTTGTAACACATTATCTAGACCATCCATTTTCAATATTGTCATATATTTATAGATCTACTTGATTTTAACCATTTTTGGATTTTAAATTTTTTGTATTAGGTATGAAAATAGATTTCAAAATAGTACTAAGAATTTTTTACAACAAAATTACATGTTATGATAAATTTTTAAGGTGCGCCTTAATTGGATTGTTTAACGTTGCAACCGTATAGCTTAAGTTGGTCAAATTATTAAGGGAAAAGTTTACATAGAGCTGAGGCTCTAAACAATCAAATTAGAGCCTATCTAAAAATTTCACTAGAAGATATTGTTTTGATGCCCATATATCCTCAAATTGATTATCTCGACATCAAGATGCATAGACATATTTCAAGTTTTGAAAACAGTGCATTTTGTAATGGATTTTTTTATTGCAAATTTTTAAGATTTTAAAGTTTTCATAGATCTGTCGTTCTAGAATATTTTTGAAGCTTTAAATTTTATCGATAAAGATGAAAATATATTTTAAGGCTATCACAAAATTTTCTAGTATTGAAACCACATTTTTCGATACTATTCGAAAGTACCCTCTAATTTGATTGTTTAGAGCCTAGGATCTATACAAACCACACCCAATTATTAAAATGCCCCCTTAATGTTAACAAAGGCAATTTGAGTATTTACCACAAAATTATTGAGGAGGTACCTAAATGAAAATATTTATTTTATTTAACTGGGGTTTGCAAATTTTACACCGAAGTCTATCCCGCATTGAACCATTATTTTTATTTTATTTTTATCTTTTTTGGAGTGTAGGATTGTCCGTCTAGCATGGGGATACTTTGGGAACAACCCTAAAGTTGAAAGGTTTGATGTCCTGAACATCGTACTGCACTATAGCACTCATGTTTTATGATCAGTTTGATGTTTAAAACATTACATAAGTTTCTTACCATGTGGCCAATGTTAGAAACATCGGATAATATATTTAATTGACGTTTTGATATTGTTAAGGAAGGATCATCAATGAGGCTTTTCGTCATGCAGAAGTTTCAGAATTCTGATGGTCCGACGTTTAACATCGAACCCCTATATTAAAAGATCTTTTATGATGATGTTTTGAACATTGGACCAACCATAAAACCTATACAGTACGATGTTTGAGACATCGAACTATTGAACTTTAGGGCGGTTTAATGTTAAAGACATCGGACATATCCTAAAGTTTGGAAAACTTAAAAAAATTAGAAAAAATTGGAAAAATTAGAAAAATTAAAGACATCAGGCGTACCCCAAAGTTAGAAAAAATTAAAAATAAAATAACAAAATATCAAATGTTTGGAAAATCAGACCAAAGGACAAAAATTGAAACAACCAATACAAAAGGGTGTGTGAGGTTAACCTTCACATAAAATTTGTTAAAGTATGGGATTTCTGTGAGTCCGTCGACCATACTGTGCATATGTGGGCCCCCACTTAAACCGATCTTAGAAATGCATTTCTAATCCAAAGTTTTAGACGTTAAAAATAAAAGAAAATTAGGGATCCATGATACAGGTTAAGATGATTATAAATATGAAATAAATAAATGGAAATTTCAATATTTAAAATGTGATTATTTACGAAAAATTTTATACCGTCTAAATTCATCTTAGCCGTATGAGTTTTTTTTTACGTCCGTCTTAAAGATGTTGAAAAACTACGCAATTGATATTTTGATGTTTTAATACCAAAAGTTTATATAAGGTTGACACTTTAAATGGTAGAGTTATAGCGCACTTCAAAAATCCATTGAAAAAAGCTATTTTCATGTTGGAAAACTATCTTATTCATCATCCCAACATCGAGAAGTATGAATTAAAAATAAATAAATTCAAATCCCAAAAATATACATCATGCAACACATGCTTTATACCTTCACACGTGTGTATGCATCACACGTGCGACACACAACACTCTCACATGTGCCACACGCATATGCACGCTTGCATATGCACTGAAGCCTTAATATTTTCACACTTGTGTTTACCTTCCAATTACATAGTTATTTATATAGCATATTTGAATATTCATCTTTCGATGTGGAATAATTCTCAAACATCATTAATTGAAAACATAATGTAAATATAGGCTATTAATAAGCAATTTTAAATACATATGCTGAAGAGGCATGATGGTTATCATTAATGTTATTTATTTTGACTTCTCAAATTCGAATCCCCCCTTGGGCCATATAATAGTTTATCCATTCTTGAGTTAATTTTTGTTCCCCTTTGGACATATAATAAATTAAAGTGTTATTTTTAGAATTTGTACGCATTTTATTAATTTTTACATTGATAACCAAATCTTTTATTTTATTTATTAATTTTTACATTATAAATAATGTAATATACTATTTTTCTTACAGTTGTCAATAATACATTTTAAATTAGATAATATTATAAAATATTTTTAATTTGTTATTATTTGTAAACTAATAATTATAATTTTAGTATATAATATTATAATTAATTAGGTTGTAATAATTATTATAGTTAGTTAGGCTGTAATAATTTAGGTTTTTTTAGTAGATTAGGGTTTTTCGCCAAAACGAGATTTTAATGGTCATTCTTTCATTGATTTAGTCTACTCTTTATTATAGTCCATGTATAATTATATATTTTATCCATGATAATTCTATGATTTTTCTTTTATATGATGCAAATTTAATACTTAAGTTTATACAGGGAAAGAGCATCCTCAATATTCACAAATTGATGAAAAAAATGAAAGTTAATAATGTAGTACCCTAATTTCTTATTGGATTCCTAAAAAACGACATTTATAATGAATTTTAATAATTTTTTTGGATTTTTTTAAAACTTTAATCCGACCGATTCAGCTGATTCCCAATCCGAATCGCCGATTCGTTAATCCGAATCAATTTTTGAAGTGCCCAATCCGGGTCACCGATCCGCTTTCGCTTTTTAAACCATTGCTTTGGTTGTTTAAAGTTGTAACCTTATGTAAACCACACTCTTCATAATATGCTCATGATATGCTCAAGATAGATCTATCGTATATTTTATATGCTCCAGATAGATCCATCATACATTTCCTTTCGTTGTAGATCTACTCTTTAAGCGGTGGGATTGGGTGACTTAGGGTCTCGAGCTAAATCACACAGTCCACCTTATTTTAAACAAAAAAATTAACTAATTTCTTTTAAAAACGGGAGATTGGAGCCGAGTCATGAGGATTTGCCACAGGACTCGGCTAGGGCTGATCCGTCCGAGTCCCAAGCCATGTCTGTCACTCTGTGAACAATGCTCTTGGCTTAGATCAAATGCAAAAAGAAAGAAGAGACGCACAGGTTAGAGAAAGAGAGATGGAGTAGAGAGAGAAGTAAATTACCTTGCCAGCATCTTGCCATGTGACCCCAGTGAGAGACTCAACAGCAAGAGCACCAAGGGTGGCAAGCATAGCCCACCTCCCATGAATGAGCTCACACTCCCTGAACCTCTGCAACCCAAACACCTCAGTGTAGGGCTGGAAAGGAGTGGACTTCACATCTGAGTTCTCAAACCTCGTCCCAATCACATCCCCTGCCGAATTCTTCGCCAAATTCTGGTCCAATGAGTCCAAATCAAACTGCAAATACTCCGCTGGTTTTCCCAACCCAAATGGGTCAAAACCATAGTCCCCAACCAAGCTCCCATCCAAGTACTCAGGGGCCTTTGCACCTGGGAACCACAGTGGCCTATCACTTGATTGCTTCTGCTTCGGCTTCGGCTTCGGCTTCGACCCGGGCTTCTTGAAGCCGAAGCCGAACCGGGCTCGGGTTCGGAAACCGTCGGCGTTGGGGAGGCTTTGGAGCTGGCTTCCCAAGAAGGTTGAGGTGGTGGCTGAGGTCGCGGCGTGACCCATGGCTCGACTCGGTGCGGTTAGGGGGTTGGGTGTGGGTTGGGTTTGTTTATTTGTGGGGTGGAGGGCTCTATGTAAGGATTTAAGGGGCTTGGGTTTTGTGGGCTATCTTGGGGGAGGTATGTGGGCCGTTGGATTTAGGGGGGAGGATCCATCTGACGGCTGTGGGGCCTTGGGGGCTTATCTTCTTAGCCTTATCAATTTGTGGACTCTCTCTCTCTTTTGAACAGTTATTGTGCTATGTATTGTTTGATATTTTCACCATTTTGTGTGATGGTGATTTTTTTTTTTTTTTTTTAACTTATTTAGTTCTTGTTATTGCTATTTTTTGTGGCTTATGTTTGTGGAGAGAGGTGGAAAATCTAGGGTGTGGGGCTCTTGATGTAAGTGGAGTGGACGGTTGGAATTTGAAGGACGGATGGGTTACGAAATATGGGGGAATTGTTTGATGCAGTAAGGTACAACGTTGTTTGTTAGTGATATAATAATCTCAAAAGTCGACTCGGGCCGACTACTCGACCTACGCCCTAGCTGCGTACCGGAGTCTGACTCGGGCTGAGTACTATAGCAATCGAAAACTATTAGAAAAAATTCAGAAAATAGGAAAAATATATTCAAAACAAAATTTAATGTAACACAACTAATTGAGGTTAAAAAACAGTAAAAGACATAGATTTTAAAAAAGGGTGCGATTTCTATAAGGTTGCAACTTTAAAAAATCCAATTAAAGCGTACCTTAAAATTTTATCATAATATGTATTTTTGTTGTAAAAAATTCGTAATATTATCTTAAAATCTATTTTCATACCTATTAGAAAATTTTGAATTTCAAAAATAGTTAAAATTAATTAGATCTATAAATATATGAAAACCTTGAAAGTGGATGGTCTAGATAATGTGTTGCAAGATGCACTATTTTCGATACTCAAAAACTTTTTTTTTTTTATATTCATACATCTCGACTTCGAGATGATCGATTAGAGTGTTTTTTCAACATTAAAACAACATTTTTGATAGATTTTTTAGGTGCATATGTGATTCTACATTTTAAGGATGCAACCATATATAAACTTTTCCCTTTAAAAAATAAGTTTGCGATGCGGTATTTTAAAAAAAAATCATAAAAGATGGAAAAATGTGATGGCCAAAATACTTTCTAATATTTGCCAAAATGATATAATACATACAGGGTGCGGTTTCTATAAGGATGCAACCTTAAACAATCCAATCAAGGCGCACCTTAAAACTTTATCATAACATGTAATTTTGTCATAAAAAATTATTAGTATTATCTTAAAATCTATTTTCATACCTAATTAATAAATTTTCAATTCCAAAAATGTTTGAAATCAAGTAGATCTATAAATATATGAAAATCTTGAAAATGGACGGTCTAGATAATGTGTTGTAAGATGCACTATATCCGGGACTCAAATTTTTTTTTTTTTCATATTCATATATCTCAATGTCGAGATGATCGATTAGAAGGTTTTTTCAACATTTCCAATAGTTTTTTGAGGTGCATCTGTGATTCTAGATTTTAAAGTTGCAACCTTATATAACTTTTTCTATACATAAATAAATATGTTACAAATATATTTTTTATTTTTTAGGATTCTAATAATTTTCCTTTTAAAAAAATTAAGATCTTCGAGTTGGACATCCAACTCAGGCTCATTAGATCCCCAAACCAAAGCAACTTGGCTGAATTTTCAAACACTATATAATCTATATAAAAATGTTTGGAGAGAGAGAAGATTTATATATAAAAATGTTTGGAGAGAGAAAGGATGATAAGTGACTTTAGCTTGTAGTTAGCTTTCAAGTGGCAAAGATAGATAGAGAAAGATTCATGAAAGGAAATCTTCCCTTTAATAAAATTTTCATTGCAAAAATATCATAAAAGGAAATATGGTTAAGAGCAGTCTTGAATTTCCCTTTATTAAATGATGCAGTTTTTATAAGGTATGAAAACAAAGTAAAGCATCACCATAAATCTTCATTTAGAAAGCACTTTGCATTAAATATCTCTATGAAAGTTCTAAATCAATTTCCAACACCAACTAAGAATTTTAAAGCTTAAAAAATGGTTCAAATCTTGTGGATCCGTGAATATCTATCTTTAGGTTGAACTGAACAATCTTGATATGTTACAATGTACACTATTTATAAGACTTGAAACCCTAATTTTTTACACAATTTAAGAGAGAGAGAGAGAGAGTTTTACACAATTTTAGAGTGATATTTTACACAATATAAGAGAGAGAGTTTTGAGGTTTAGAAAAGTGAGAGAGAGAGAGAGAGAGAGCTTTGAGGTTTAGAAAAGTGAATTGAAAATGTGACACTATTTATAAGACTTGAAACCTCAATTTTTTTACCCAATTTAAGAGAGAGAGATTTTACACAATTTAAGAGAGATGTTTTACACAATTTAAGAGGGAGAGTTTTGAGGTTTAGAAAAGTGAGAGAGAAGGAGCTTTGAGGATTAGAAAAGTGAATTGAAAATGTGACACTATTTATAAGATTTGAAACCTTAATTTTTTTACACAATTTAAGAGAGAGAGAGAGTTTTACACAATTTAAGAGATATGTTTTACACAATTTAAGAGAGAGAGAGTTTTGAGGTTTAGAAAAGTGAGAGACAAAGAGCTTTAAGGTTTAGAAAAGTGAGAGAGAGCTTTGAGGTTCAGAAAAGTGAATTGAAAATGTGTAAAGTCTTAAAAAAGGTCCGGCTTGCCGGATTCGAACCAGCGACCTAAGGATTACAGCAAACCACTACAGTCCTCCGCTCTACCAACTGAGCTAAAGCCGGATTGTTGATGTAATCAAATTTACTTACTTATTACCTCAATAATATTGGGCTGGAATCTGGTAAAGGACCCGGGTATGAGTTCAGGTCCAGTTTATGGTCCTAGTACGGGTCCATACGTTTGAATTTGATGTTAGGATCAATCAAACCTAATATACTCCACATTTTTTTTAATTTGGAAAGCCCTACACAATAGGCTCACCATTCTCTGTTTATAAACGGTAGGGGAAAAATCGACTACCATGGACCTATTATGTTGCGCTATCACCATGGACATAGTACGTCTGTTACGATACCATCACGAATATAGTACGTCCGTTGAAATACCATCATGAATATAGTATTTAGGTGGTAGTCGATTTTTAACATTAAATTGCAATGGACCTATTATGCAGGGGAGAAAATACTATTCACTTCACCTGTAGCTGTAGAGAAGCATTTTTGTTCTTATATATGGAGAAGAACAATTATATGTTACCATGTCATTTTAATATAATAAAACCACACTTCTAGATAATCATGTTTATGGTATTTATATAACCCCAAAAAATAAAATTCAATATGCACTTTACATATAGTTTAAATAAGCCCCCCCCCCCTCCAATAAAGTATGTAGATCATCTAGACCTCTACAAACTAAAAAATATGTTTTTCTTTTTTAATATTGTTCATGTAATGACGATAAAGCCATCAAAAAATTTTGGAAAGGGAAAAAATTCCCTCTAAAACCTAGATCTAAACGTCTTAACAAAATGGACATCCTATTTTACTTGGGCTGAAAACACACTTTTTAGGATGTGCTTTTGAATTTTTTATTTTTATTTTTTTTTCAATTTTTCATTAGAATAAAAAAAATGTATATCTAAAGTTTAGGGTCAAATAAATTGCTCTGACATGATTTTTTAATAGGGTTTCATTATATTAGTATAGAATTCTTCCATGAAATCTATATATATATATATATATAGCCGAGGCTCTAAACATTCAAATTAGAGACCACATCAAAAATTTCACTAAAAGAGCTTGTTTTGATGCCTAAATATCCTCAAATTATCTCGACATCAAGATGCATGAACATGAAGAAAAAAAATAGATTTTGAGTTTGGAAATAGTGCATCTAGTAACACATTTTTGATCGGTCAATTTTCAATATTTTCAAGTTTTCATAGATCGGCTTGATTTGCACTATTTTTTAAGCTTTAAATTTTATAATTAAAAATAAAAATATATTTTAAGGCTATCACAAAGATTTTCTATATTGAAACCACTTTTCTCGACACTATTTGAAAGTGTGCTTTACTTGGATTGTTTAGAGCCTTGGCTCTATACAAACCGTACCCACACATGTATATAGAAGAAAAACATTTGTCTTTTGGATGGCTGGAATGTGCCATTGACCTAGCTAAAAATTCCAAAAAAAAATTCTGGGCCTTTGCAACACATCCTAAACTCTTAAGATTTGACATCCGATGGATGGCTTAGAATAATTGCGACTCAAAAGAAAAATGGTCTTATAGTTTATATACACAGTTACACACACACCAAACCCGAGTAAACCCCATAGATAAGGTACGAATCTGGTTGACATGGACTGACTGGGGGTAGGTGCCCCCTCTCGTTTGTCATTTCAAGTCCGAGCCAGGCTCAACCCAAACCCCACTAGATCCATTATACCAACAAGGTTACTGTTTATATAAAGAAAAAATTTGATATAAGATGTCAATCTTATACTGTCGCAGTACAATGCACCTCAACAATCAACAAGAAATGGTTGTTTTGACATATGACCGACCCTACAAATGGATCTAGAGTCACACCCACTTTTCCATAATTTCGCAAATTTGAAAACCCAAACCATGCACATCATTTACTTCCACAAAAAAATCATGACTATCAAAAAATGGATTTGGGAACCCTAAAAATGCTCCATCTTGACTAGTGTCTCTACATTTGGTCTACACTGTCCATTAGATGGAGTAGATTTGGAGCCTTTAGGAGCTCAAAAACCACTTTTAGGGGATAAAAATGGAAACTTTAGGGGGAAATATGTGATGGTTTAGAGAGTAGCTGACCCATTTTCTCCTTTCTATACAAATTCCTCTTTTTTTTCCTGAACCAGATTAACATGTCTGCAAAATTTTGGAGTACAACAAACAAATCCATTAGAGAAGTGTAACCAATTAATAATAAATATGCCCTCTGTTACCTTCCAATTAATTGGGAAAAAACTCTGATGACGATGATGCCATCCGTTACCTTCTAAAATACAATTGCGAAACCAAAGAAGCATGCATCAGTTCTCTTTCAAATTTTAAATTTGACAACCATCCGTTTCTCTTTCAAATTTTAAATTTGACAACCGTAAAAGAAAGTCTAACCTTACAGTCCCAAAAGAACCAGAGTAAATACCCAGTTCTTGTATACATATTCCTGAGACCTCAAGCAAAGAGAGAACACCCAAAAGAAAAGAGGAGAAAGTAAAACATAAATCTGTTGCCTGGAATGAAATTGCTCATAACGCATCTCTTGCAGCAATACGACATGCGATTGCATCTGCCAATGAGGATATTCCCAACTCCTGGCCCGAAATCTTGTAATGCTGTATTACAATAAAATAAAATTAACAAATGGCTTTTATAACAAGAAATAAGCTGATGATTTAATTGATGAAATTGTACCAATGCCATTTAAGAAAACACGGAATAATTTAACCCAGGAGATAGTATGAAGAATATGGGGTGCTCGAACAGAATCACTTATGATCATACCTTTTGAATTTGGGCCTTGTTTGCTCGTCCTTCTAACTCATCAAGATCGATCTTTTTTCCATGGATAAGCTTTTCTATAGCTGTCAACTAGCAAATCAAAGAACACTCGGTCAGCACTGTGTAATTATATAACTATTACTAAACTTCAAGGAAATTAAGAAAGTAAAGCTTAAAACTGGAAAGGCTCATAATATTAACAATCACACTCACATACATGTGCACACACAGACACAGAATATGTGTGTCTCTGTGTGTGTGTGTGTGTGTGTGTGAGAGAGAGAGAGAGAGAGAGAAAGAGAGCTCTGATTCAGAGACGGTATTCAGCATGCTAATATGAATTCATAACGCGAGCAGGAATTATCTGTATTCCACTTCAAAAGAAGACAAAAACAGGGTATGTATTTGCTATGAAATCTTGTGTAGCTCATGCACCTAAGCATGGCAGCTTGCAGTGTTTTAAACAGCATAAGGCTGCCCACAGCTGCCTCCTACTTGATGCAGCCAATGTTGTCAGATTCGCTTCGGAGTCTTCTTCGGTTTGATGAGAAAAATGAAGCAATTCGGTGCTTCAGCTGATTCGAGAGAAGACTTCGGACTTTTTTTTTTTAATTTAGTATAAATAAATTAGATGGTTATATATACAAAATAACGAAAAAAATTATATACCTATTTCTTCGCTGGCCGAAGCAGTCTGAATTTGACCGAAGCGGTCCGAATTTGACCGAAGCGGCAGCACCAAGCTTTGCTTCTCTTCGGTTTATGCCTAAAATCCGAAGGCTTCGGCCAAATAGCGAAGAGAATTAGATAATTGGATGCAGCCCAGAGAAAAGGAGAAAGAAAGAGGGGGGGGAATTGTTTCTACCATAAAACCCCCACTGAGAGAGACAGGACAACAAATGAACAACAAACACACATACACAACATATCCCATCTCTCTCTCAAACATGCCACAAAAAACATAACATAATCTCTCTCTCGCTCTCTTTCATAAATGCACCACAAACAACATTCATACTCTCTCTCTCTCTCTCTCTCTCTGTGTGCGCCACACACAAACACCCAAGCAGAGCACAACACACATGCATATGTGTGCACGAATACGCACACAACGCATCCCAGGTGGAATGGGACCTCAGTCAAGGTACTAGGTGCCCATGTAGTAGGCTCCCACCAGGATAGCCCACCTGTGCCTAGGCAAGGAATACACTAGGAGCATAGAAGCAAACAGAATGACCCTATAGAGGTATAGCCTCTCTAGTTCTCTTTAGATAAGAGCTCAAACACAATAGCTGTTAGCACCATAGAAATGGTGTTCCAAGTGCAAGACGGCATAAGGTTTACACGTTGTTGACAGAACCTTGTATTAGCCTATTGGGTTAGCATTAAATAAGGAATTGTAAAGTAGACATGTACATATTCGGCACCATGTCTTAGTACAAATAATCTCTCACTCTCATCAAATGAGAAGAGACAGGAAAAAGGAATGACAAAAAAATACCAAGTTCACCTAAAAGTTATTATCATTGTCATTATTATTTTTTAGTTGTTGCGTAAAGTTATGGTTCCTCTCCGTTTCCATCTTACGTTTGCCTGAAGTTATGGTTCCTTCCCTGTCCTTTACATCCGACAAATTTAAATCATTCCTAAGCAAATAAAAATCTTCATTCCTATCTTATCTATCTTGTTGTTCTTCAATTCTCCTGAGAAGCCGGGGCAAGGAAGTCCAGAAATAGGTTTTAAGAGAAATATTGAAGTCATTCACCAACCCAAAGATGTGCTATGGATGGACTTATATATCAATGAATGTACATTCAACAAGCCTATGAGATGCATAAAATAAGAGTATTATACATGATCAAGGAATTGCATAATCCATTTGAATTGAATATTAGTATATATTCAATAGGAAAATAATTTCTTTTACATCGAGTCAGTACTTCAGTTTTCTTTATAATCTAGAGCCAGTAGTCAAGAAACAAGTTTTAAAGCATAACTGCAATCACTGAACAACCCAAAGAAGATTCTATAAATGGATTGATAGTACATTGATAATACAATGCATGTAAGTTCAACAAGTATATGCAATGTATTAAACATAAATGTATTACAGATCATAAAGAAATTGTGCACCCACAGAACCCAACTAAGTTATAAAAAGAACTTCATTATATCATAAGGTGTAAGAAAAGAAGTTCTATCGGCCAAACCAAACCATCAACATTACAAATGTACAATACATTACTATTGCTCACCTCATCTGGTGAAGCATCAAAACGGGCAGCCAAGATATAGCTTGAATCCTCAGAAATTCCACATCTCTTTAAAGACTCAGTGATCTAAAGGCATGTTAAAATTCCAAAGCCTTTTCGATGAAAGCTAAAATAAGCAAGGATCATTCCAGAAAGTAAAACAGAAATAAAAGAGGTGTATTTAAATATAGGTTTTGATACAGCGGATACATGTTTAGATCCTGAGTAATTATAGACAAGCTCTGAATGAAGAGTTCGTGTAGTCAACATATCCCTTGATTTCGCTAAGATGGTTTTGTGGGCAGCAGCCAGAACAGGGAAAACATCTGGTATCTGTAGGATTCATTGGTCAAAAGTACATGTTACTAGAGACAGTAAAAATCAAAGTAAGAATCTCTTTAAAGGACAACAAGAGAAAGGCCAAGTGCAAACAGAATACATTCTCTTTTGGCAGACCTGGTCCGCCATTCTACACTATTAAAGGCCATACCCTCAGTGAGGCCATAAACCCTCAGTGAGGCCATAAATCCTCATATATATATATATATATATATATATATATATATAG